CTGTTTATCGGCTGTTCAAACCACGTTTCTCTCTCACTTGGGCTCCCACAGTAGCCTCTTAACTGGTCTCCTCACAAATGTTCTAGACCCATCCATCTGTCTGCCAAACTATAGCTGGGATAATCTTCTAAAAACAAATCTGGTCACTATGGAAAACAGTATGGAAGTTCCTCAAAAAAATTAAATATAGAATTACCATATGAACCAGCAGTTCCACTTCTGGGTATATACCCAAAAGAAATGGAAGGAGGGACTGAAATAGGTATTTGTACACACATGTTCACAGCAGAGTGATTCGCAATCTCCAAAAAGTGGAAGCAACCCAGGTATCCATCAATGGAAGACTAGACAAACAAAGTTACACACACACACACACACACACACACACACACTGGTGGTGTTCAGCCATAAAAAAGGAAATTCTGACAACATGGGTGAACCTTGAGGACATTATGCTAAGTAACATAAGCCAACCACAAAAGGAAAAGAGCGTGACTCCACTTACAAAAGGTATCTAGAGCAGTCAGATTCACAGAGAATGGTATTTGTCAGGAGCTTGGAGATGTCTTTTTTGGAAGACTCTTCAGGAATTAAATTTCTTTAATAGATGTAGGAGTGCTCAGTTTATTGCCTGTTGGGTGAGTTTTGGTAGTTCAAAATATTGGTCTATTTCATCTACGTTATGCATAGAGTTGTTAGTTCTATTCCCTTGTTATCCTTTTTAATGCACATGGAGTCTGTAGTGATAGCTTTTCTTTATTTCTAATACTGGTAATTTTTTTCCCATTTTCTGTTTTTCAATCTGGATTAAGGTTATTAGTGTATTCCTCTTTCTAAGAATTAGGTTTTATTTTCATGTATTTTGCTTATTGATTTTGTATTTTTACTTATTACTACTTTATTTTTTCCTTCTGCTTGCTTTTGTCTTTTTTCCCCCCCAGTTTCTTAGGTTGACATGAGACATTTAATTTTTTCTAATTAGCAGTTCTATAAATTTCCTTTTAAGCTTTGCTTTGGTTGACTCCAACCAAATTTTGATATTTTGTGTTTCATTTCATTCAGTTCAAAATATTTTTAAATTTCTCTAGAGTCATCTTTGGCCCGCAGATTTAGAAGTATTTAATTCCCCAGTGTTTTTTAAAAAAATTCAGTTATATTTCTCTCAGTAATTTTTAGTTCTATTATAGTCAGGCAAGATACTTGGTTAAATTCCTTTAAATTTGCTAATGTTTCTTTTATGACTCAATTTTAATTTATCTTGGTGAATGTTTCACATGTACTTAAAGAATTTTTGTTGTGCTGTTGTTGGGTAGAATGTTCTATTAATTTTAATTATATGCAGTTATAATGGATTATGGTGATGTCCAGTTCTTTCTATCCATGATGACCTTCTGTCTGATGTCTGAAGTGTCGAAATCTCCAATTATAATTGTGGATTTGTCCCTTTATTCTTTCAGTTCTCTCGGTTTTCGCTTCACTTACCTTGAGGCTTTGTTAGGTGCATACATGCTTAGGAATATTGTGAGTTCTTGATGAATTGACTTTTACCATTATGTTATTATATCCTCTTCATCCCTGGTAATTTTCTTTGCTCTGAAATCTGATTTGTCTGATATTAATGTAGACACTTCAGCTTTCTTTTGATTCATACATGCATGATATACCCTAGTCCATCTTTTCACTTTTAACCTACCTATATAGTTTCTTAAAGATAGTACCCATATGTATACATTTTCAGCCATTCTTCATCTATTGTTTGGTATGTTTAGACCATATAATTTTGGGAGCATGGGTATAATAGCTGCTTTGAAGTCTTTGGTAATTCCAACATCTATGTGACCTCAGGGTTGGCATCTATTAATTGTGTGTGTGTTTTTATTTTGTTTTTTTTTTTTCCTTGTGAGTTTAGGTATTTCTGGTTCTTTATATGCCAATTAATTTTGGATTACATTCTGTATATCATGAGACCCTGGTCTTATTTAAATTCTAAAGAGAATGTTGATTTGTATTTCTTGTTGGTGCTGCTTTCTCTGGCAATCGCCCAGACTATGTTTGGTCCACAAATTATGACCTGCCTTCTCTGGGTTCTGGCTTTAACATAATTCTGTTTTCAAAGTGTTTTCCCTGCTGCTCAGATCAGTCCCGCTGGCTAGTCTGTGACCCTGTAGCTCCATCGTCAAAGCCTGTGATATGCTTATCGGGGTCAGATTCCCAAACACACAGGAGTGGCACTCGGGAGTTCGTACAAAACTTTATGGGATCACTCTTGATCTCCCTCCTCTCCACCAACACTTTCTTCTTGCCAACTCTAAGTCCTCCCTCTCAGATCTCTGGATAGAAATCTGGGGCTCGGCCTGGCATGGTGGTTCACGCCTGTAATCCTAACACTCTGGGAGGCCGAGGTGGGTGGATTGCTCAAGGTCAGGAGTTCGAAACCAGCCTGAGCAAGAGGGAGACCCCATCTCTACTAAAAATAGATATTATTTGTACAACTAAAAATATTTATAAAAAATTAGCCGGGCATGGTGGCACATGCTTGTAGCCCCAGCTACTTGGGAGGGTGAGGGAGGATTGCTTGAGCCCAGGAGTTTGAGGTTGCTGTGAGCTAGGCTGATGCCATGACACTCTAGCCAGGGTGCAACCCCCCCAAAAAAAACTGGGTCTCTACTTTCCCCAATATCCTGCAAACTTACTGCAGCTGTGCCTGTGTCCAGCACCAAGTAGCAGGAGGAGGTAAGAGACAAAAAATATATAGCAATGTGTACTTGGTACAAACTCTTGGGACCATAGTTCCTTTGATTGGAGAGAACCTTCCTCAGAGTTTTAGGTGTCTGCCTGCTGCCATCGTTGTCACCGTGCTGCTGCCTGTGCTACTGGGGTATTGCTTGGGTTGCTGTGGGATAGAAAAAGGGAGGTCTGCTCCCAGAGCTCTTTCTGGACACATCTGGTGGGCATTTCTGGGCTTCAGGGCACTTTAGATTCCAGGCTAGACAATACTGAAGGGGAGAAAAAATGGTGAATTCACCACTGGTTCAGTAGGACTTAAAAGTCTGATCTCCTTCCCCATCCACCTGCTGCCATCCATGTTTTAGAGACCTCAGGTAGCTCCTTCTGCATTCTGTTTGAGTCTCACAGGTGCATTCAGTGGGAGAGACAGGGCAGTGTTTTTAATCCATCTTTTCCACGATAAGAACCATAGCATACATTTTAAAGCTACTTCTAATAATTACAAAATTAATACCTGTTCATTGTAGATAATACAGAATATGCTGATAAGCAAGTGACCTGTGACACTAACACTCCTGCATAACTTCTGTTGGTTTGTATATTAAGCAAAATTAGATCATGTTGTACATGCAGCTTTGCATTAGCTTTTTTCTTGTCACTCAATGTGTCAGGCTTATTTCTTTGGTAATATACGTTCTTCCCTAGGATCACTTTTCAAAACTGCATGGCAAGCATTCCCTCATATGGCTGTATTCTAATTTTTTAAAGCAAGTTCTTATTACTAAACATTCAAGTTTGCAGAGTTTTTTGTACTGTTTGCAGCCAGTGAGTAAGTAGCTGGAGAGATTGCAACAGGAGTTAAACTCTTTTTAACACTCTCCAGGCCCCATTTGAATTTTTGAAACAAAAATATGCTACTTTACAACTCTAACCCAGCTAGAAAAATTAATGCTCTAGAAAGGGATTACGCTGGATGCTTAAGAGAGCTGGTTAAGAAGGAGCCATGCTGTAAACGTAGCATCTCAAGTCCAAGTACGGAGGGAACTCCTTCTGAGGTTAGATGCCTGAAAGAAAAGCAGACTGTGTTGTGTCCTTAAGAATAATTGTGATGCACTTATTTTTATGTGTGTCTATTCCTCAGTCCCTGCTGCCCACGATAAAGATGCAACTGTGCCTGCCCAGCAGCAATAAGACGCTATGGGGAAGTGCTTGCAAATAGACACAGTTAAAAAAGCCACAAAGAACTCTTTAATTAAGTCTTCCTTTCACCCTCATTAAAATTCAGTGACGATTACCATGGAATTTGTGCTGTATCTCAGAAACAAATCATAACAATTTCATAAGACTTCTCTAGGATGCCTGGGGTACAATAAGATGCAGCTTATTATTTCGCTGTGGTTTGATAAATGGGAAAATGTATATAAAACTGTCAGCACTCTCTTGGAAAAGCCTTAGCCAAACCTGTCGGTCCTGATGACACTATTAATTAAAGAACTGGCAGGAAGTTAGACACTTAAAATAGTAATGGTAGCTATGGTTAGACAAAATTCCCACACACACATACACACACATATGTATCTAAGTGTGTGTTTATATGTAGGGTGTGTATATGTTTATGAGAATAACCTTATGACCATCAGATGGCAACTTGAAATTCTCTAAGGTTTTTTTAAGGCTCATTATTCTACAATGTGCTCATGGAGTTTTTAATCTATGGTATCTAAGCATTAAACAATGGGAACATAATAAATTTTATGTAAGAATTGAGGGTCTCACAAAAAATATGGAACATTCTATATGAGGTTAATCCTTATAAAAAAACAGATGTCCTGGAAATAAACAGGCCTAGAGTTGAGGTCTGATGGTGATTTCATATAATCATCACAATAACTAACGTTTAAGAGCACTTCCTTTGCACTAAACTCTTTGCTAACCACTTCCTTTTTTACCCCTTTAACAATTTAAGATCAGTCTATTTTTACAGTAAAGTAATAGTGAAGACTGCTAAATAACATGCCCAAAGTCCCACACTTAAGTTCTGAGTTCGGAATTTGAACCTGGGTCTCCCTGACCTGAAGACCTTGTTTTTAACCATCTGTTTCCTTTTCTTGGCTCCCTTGTTCTTGGCTCAGAATTCCCCAGCCTCTATGTTCACTTGATCTCGCGTCGTTTTGGTTTCTGGATTCCATTCCAGCAATGCGTTACTTGCAGAGCATCTTTTAAGGAGTGAGGGGGGATAAAAGGTATTTTGGGATTTTTCTCTTTTGCAATAGATATTAGAACAGTTGCGGCAAGTAAAACAACTCTGCATAAGGTTGACAAGGCGAAAGGAAAACGTTCTCCGTGACAAGCATTTGTCACCTGTACCTCTCCTCTACAAAAGGAGAGAATCCTGCCTGGACCTCCGAGCCTGGGTCCCCCACGTCTGCCAAGGTGGGTGCTGAGCCTCTCGGCCTGGTGCCCGGATGTTGGCTGCTCTCATCATAGCAACGGGGAAATAAACACACTGGAACTGTGAGGGTAAGAGTTGCATCGGAAAGAACAAAAATCACCTGTGGGAAAGCAAAAAAGATAAATGAAGGGAAAACTGTAAGAGGAAGGGGGAAACAAGGCACAGCAGTCTGGGATGGGGGGAGGGTTGGGGGGAGTTTAGGAAGAGACGAAGGGAACTTTGGGGACACTGAGCCAGGAGACAAAGACAGGAAGAGACGGATGGCAGACTGCTGAGAGGCGGTGCTGTGGTTCTTCACTGTGTCCCCTTCCAGATCTGACATGGCAGGAGCGTCTGGCAGGGTTTTTATTGGTTTTCATGGTCGGTCGGTGAAAGTGACCCCAGGCCAGGGCTAAGTGGCACGAGCCCCTGCTCCGAATGTGTAATACAAACTTCCTTTTAAGTGTGTGCTTTAGTTTGTACAGTTGTTTAGTTTCTATTATTTGAGATTCAGTTTTATCTCTTTTTTAATGGATTCTAAAATCTTTGTTGTCAGCACAAACTCTCCCACTGGGAGCCCTGTAGTCTTAATGGGCAGATTTCTGTGTAGGGAGGGGAGAGAAGGCATGGGCGAGCTGAATAAATACTACAGAGATCAGAAATATTTTTTATGTAATTTTCTTGAAAGTAGAGTGGTCCTAAAGTGATTTTTTTTTTTTTTTTTTTATTTTTTTTTTTTTTTTTGAGACAGAGTCTCACTTTGTTGCCCAGGCTAGAGTGAGTGCCATATTGAAATGAATAATTGTCAGGTGCAACAGAAATGGTAAACGCCTTCATACTGCATGCTAATTGTTGATCAGCAACTATGTATCAGGCATCACCTATCTTTATTCAGACTCGCCATGCTTCTCTCCCCTCCCTACACAGAAATCTGCCCATTAGAGACTACAGGGCTCCCAGTGGGGAGAGTTGTTGTGCTGACAACAAGATTTTAGAATCCATTAAAAAAGAGATAAAACTGAATCTCAAATAATAGAAACTAAACAACTGTACAAACTAAGCACACACCTTAAAAGGAAGTTTGTATTACACATTCGGAGCAGGGGCTCGTGCCACTTAGCCCTGGCCTGGGGTCACTTTCACCGACCGACCATGAAAAAACATAAAAACCCTGCCAGACGCTCCTGCCATGTCAGATCGGAAGGGACACAGTGAAAAACCACAGCACCGCTCTCAGCGTCTGCCCGTCCTCTCTCTGTCTTTGTCTCTCCTGGCTCAGTGTCCCCAAAGTTCCTTCGTCTCTTCCTAAACTCCCCACCACTCTCCAGACTGCTGTGCCTTGTTTCCTTCCTCTTACAGCTTTCCCTTCATTTATCTTTTTTGCTTTCCCACAGGTGATTTTTGTTCTATTCCGATGCAACTCTTACCTCACAGTTCCGAGTGTGTTTATTTCCCGTTGCTATGATGAAGAGCAGGCCAACATCCGGGCACCAGGCCGAGAGGCTCAGCACCCACTTGGCGACGTGGGGAGACCCAGGCTCGGAGGTCCAGGGGTGATTCTCTCCTTTTGTAGAGGAGAGGTACAGGGTGACAAATGCTTGTCACGGAGAACGTTTTCCTTTCGCCTTGTAACCTTATGCAGAGTTGTTTTATCTTGCGCAACTTTGTTCTAATATCTATTGCAAAAGAGAAAATCCCAAAGATACCTTTTATCCCCTCACTCCTTAAAAGATGCTCTGCAAGTAACGCAGCTGTGCTGAATGGAATCCAGAAACAAAACGACGCGAGATCAAGTGAACCACAGAGGCTGGGGAATTTGAGCCAAGAACAAGGGGCCAAGAAAAGGAAACAGATGGTTAAAACAAGGTCTTCAGGTCAGGGAGACCCAGGTTCAAATTCCGAACTCAGAACTTAAGTGTGGGGACTTTGGGCATGTTATTTAGCAGTCTTTACTATTACTTTACTGTAAAATAGACTGATCTTAAATTGTTAAAGGGTAAAAAGGAAGTGGTTAGCAAAGAGTTTAGTGCAAAGGAAGTGCTCTTAAACGTTATTATTGTGATGATTATATGAAATCACCATCAGACCTCAACTCTAGGCTGTTTATTTCCCAGGACATCTGTTTTTTATAAGGATTAACCTCATAGTAGGCAAATGTTCCATATTTTTTGTGAGCACCCTCAATTCTACATAAATATTTCTTGTTGCCCCATTGGTTTAATGCTTAATCCATAGGATTAAAAACTCCAATGAGCACAATTGTCGAGATAATGGCCTTTTTAAAAAACCTTAGAGAGATTTCAAGTTGCGCATCTGATGGAACTCATAAAGGTTATCTCATCATAAATATACACACCCTACATATAAACGAACACCTTAGAGTACGGGCTACTGGTGTGTGTATGTATGTGTGGGAATATTTGTCATAACCATAGCTCACGCACTTACTGATTTTAAGTTGTCTAACTTCCTGCCAGTTCCTTTTAATTACATAGTGTCATCAGGACGACCAGGGTTTGGCTACAGGGTTTTCAAGAGAGTGCTGACAGTTTGTATAATACATTTTCTCATTATCAACCACAGCGAAATATAAGTGCATTCTTATTGTACCCCCGCGCATCCTAGAGACAGTCTTATGAAATTGTTATGATTTGTCTTCTGAGATACAGCACAATTCCATGGTACATCGTCACTGCAGAATTTTAATGAGGGTGTGAAAGGACGATTAATTAGACAGAGTTCATTTGTGGGCTTTCTTTTAACTGCGTCTCAGATTTGCAAGCCTTCCCCATAGCGATTTATCGCTGCTGGGCAGGCACAGTTGCATCTTTATCGTGGGCAGAGGGGACTGCGAGGGAATAGGACCACATAAAAATAAGTGCAATCACAATTATTCTTAAGGAACACACAGTCTGCTTTTCTTCAGGCATCTAACCTCAGAGAGGAGTTCGCCTCCGTACTTGGCTTTGGAGACCTGCCTGACGTTCTACTAGCATGAGCTTCCTTCTTCAACCAGCTCCTTGAAGGCATCAGGTGAATCCCCTTGTCTAGAGCATAATGTTTGTCTAGAGCTGGGTTACAGGAGTTGTAAAGCTAGATATATTTTGTCTTCAAAATTAAAAATGGGGCCCTAAGAGAGTGTTACTACAACGGACGTTTAATCTGTTCAATCTCTCCACGCTACTTTGACTCACTGCTGCAAAAGTACAAAAACTCCTGCAAACTTGAATGTTTAGTAAATAACGAACTTGCTTTAACAAATTTAGAATACAAGCATGATGGGGACATGCTTGCAATGGACAGTCTTCTGAAAAGTGAAATCCTAAGGGCAAGAACGTATACGCCCTTACCAGAGAATAAGCCTGACACATTGAGTGACAAGAAAAAGCCTAACTGCAAACGCTCGCATGTACACGTGATCCCTAATTTTGCTTAATACTACAAACAGGACAAGGTTTGCGGGAGTGTTGAGTCGTTGCAGGTCACTTCGCCCTGTATCAGCATACTTCTGTATTCACATCTCCATCGAATGCTCATAATTCTTGTAATTATCTCAGAATAAGCCTTTAAAATGTCAGTCGCTATGGGGTCTCTTATCGCGTGGAATAGAGGATGGATTGAACAAACTGCCCTGTCTCTCAGCTCTGGAATCGGCACCTGGTGGAGACTCAACAGAATGAGACAGGAAGCTACCTGAGGTCTCAAAATGGATGGCAGCAGCGTGGCAGGGAGAGGAGATCAGATTTTAAGTCCTAGCTGAACAGTGCTCAGAATTCACATTTTTTTCTCCCCTCTCAGTATCATCTGCTGGAGATCTAAGATGCCTGAAGCAGAACATCGCACACCAGCATGTGGCCAGAAGAGCTCTGGGAGCAGAGCTTCCCTTTTTCTCTATCCGCACAGCAACAAGCAACCTACCCCAGCTGAGCACAGGCAGCAGCACGTGACACACGATGGGCAGCAGCACGACACTAAAAATCCTGGAGGTTCTCTCTGATCAAGAACTATGGTCCAAGAGTTTGGTAGCAATCACTGTGCTATAATACACTTTGGTCTCTTTATCTCCTCCTGCTATTGGTGCTGGAACACAGGCAAGCTGCAGGGTAAGTTTAGGCGGATATTGGGGAGAAAGCTAGCAGACCAGCTTTTTTTTTTTTGGGTGCACCCTGCTAGAGTGTCATGGCATCAGCCTAAGCTCACAGCAACCTCAACTCCTGGCTCAAAGCAAATCCTCGCCCTCACCCTCCCACAGTAGCTGGCTCACAAGGCATCCGTGCCACCAGATGCCACCTAATTTTTTATAGATATTTCTTACGTTGTCACAAATAATAGTCTAATTTTTTAGTCAGAGATGCGCATGGTCGTCCGCTCCTATGCGTCAGGCTGGTTTCGAAACTCCTGCCCTTAGAGCAATCCACCGCCGCCTCAGCGCCTCCAGCACGCTCGCTCTTAGGATTACAGGCGCTCGAACCACAGCAGGCGAGCCAGATCTTCCCTCTCAGACGACTCTGAGAGGCATGGACTTCCAAGCAACGTTGGCACCGCAGACCAGTGCTCTGGTGGAGAGGAGGGACATCAGAGTGACCCATAAAGTTTGTGTCACGAACCCGAAGTGCCACTCCCTCGTGTGTTTCCGATCTTACCCAGGATAAGCATATCAACAGGACTTTGCCGATGCGAGCTCAAGGTCACAGACTAGCCACCGGACGGGACTGCAATCTGAACGCCGCAGGAGAACCACCCTTTGCAAAGAATCTACCTGCTTTGAAGCCAGAACCCAGCGAACGCGCAGGGTCAGTCCATTGTTGACGCAAAACATACGTCTGGGCGATTGAAGAGAAAGGCAGCACCACAAGAAACTACAAATGCAACGCATTCTCTTTAGAATTTTAAATTAAGGACCAGGGTCTCCATGATCCCTACGAAGAATGCTAACTCCAAATTTAGATTCATCACGTGGCATCCCATAACAGAACACAGGAACTACCTCAAACTCCAAGGAAACGAAACTCAAACCACACACATTAATACGATGCCAACCTCGAGGTAACCCTAGATGTTGGAAATCCATACCAAAACTTTCAAGCAGCTATTAATACCCATCTCCGCGCATCAGCTGCGAAAATTATACGACTGCGGTCCTCACCTACCACACCACAACTCAGCTGAACAGAATCGTCAGAATGGCTGAAATGTATAGTATCCCACCCCCGCCCTCGGGTACTATCTCTTAGAAACTTACTCCCCGATACGCGCCTTAGAAGCTGAACAAGATGCGACTACGCGGTACTCTATCCACAATATACCCCGCTCGTTCCGAAGTCAACAAGAAAGCTGAGCTGCTCTACTCTAATATCAGACAAATCCAGATCTCTTACCGCAACACGACACCTCTCGCCCCCCTCCCGCCCCTTCAGGGTGAAGAAGCGATATAATAAATAACCCTCGCGCCTCCACCTGAGCTCCACGATTCCTGCAGCACCATCGACAATACTCCTAGAACCTGCATGCGAGCTAGGACAAAGGCATCATGTAAAGTGAAGCAAAAACGAGGAGAACTGAGAAAGATAAGGGGGACAAATCACAATTAATCGAATTGTTTGAGAATCTCAAACTTCAGACATCAGCACGAAGGTCCATCATCGGATACATAAGAACTGGACATACCATCAAGCCATTAAACCTGCACATAATTAAATTAATAGAACTTCTAGCCAACAACAGCACAAAAAAATTCTTTAAGATACCATGTGAAACATTCACCGAAGATAAAATTAAAATTGGTCTAAACGCCAACATTAAGCAATCTAAGAAGGGATTCTAAGCCCAGTATCTTGCCTGACTATAAATAGCCGAACCTAAAAATTCCCAACTGACCGAGAATATAACCTGATTTTTTTAAAAAAACCTGGGAAATTACAATACGATACTTCTACATATGTGGGCCACCAAAGATGACTCTAGAGAAATTTACCAATACGTTTTGAACTGAATCGAACTGGACACACAATTATCAAAATTTGGTTGGAGTCCAACAAAGCAAAGCTTCTATGAAGCGAAACCTTATATCAGACTCGCTTATTGAAAAAAATAAAAAATGTTCTCATGTCAACGCTAGAGAAACTGGGGGAAAAAAGAAAAGCAACAGCAAGGAAAAAATAGACGCTAGTAATCACGAGTAAAAATACAAAACTCATAAGCAAATCACATGAAATAAAAACTAATTCCTTAGAAAGCAGGATAATAAACGCTAAGCCTTATCAAGATTGAAAAACAAGAAAATGGGGAAAAAAATACAGTCATGACTAGAAGATAAAGAAAGCTATCCTAACAGACCTCCATGTGCTTAAAAGGCATACAATACGGGCAATAGCCCAACCGACCCAAACTCTATGCATAAATAGAATGCAGATAGACGCAATATTGCTTGAACTACCAGAAACTCCCCCCACCAGGCAATAGATACTCGCGACCTCGAGCAGTCTACATCTATTAACGAGATTTAATTCCTGAAGAGCATCTCTCACAAAACGACATCTCAACGCCCTCCTTGAAATACCATATCATCTGTGAACTCTGCTGCTCTGAGATACC